TAATGTCACTGGATTTATACCCTTTCAGATTTCTTAAAAGGAAACATGATGCCCAAACAGTTTAACTACACTAGTTCCAAGCTATTTGTCATTTTGGAGGGCTCCGACATACTCATGAGTTGTTTTTTTTTTTTTCTTTCTAAAGCTCCATGTCTGTCAATCATCCTGTCATTCAGAGTTAAGATAATGTCCACTGAAGAGCTCAGAACAATGGTGATTAGTTTTTGTGTTCAAACATAAGGCACACCATGTTGGATTTCTCCCTAGGGGAGCAATTCTTCTCATTTCAGAACCATTTTGGTCTTTTAGGTAGATATTGTAATTTATCAGTTAATGAATTCTTTCTCCAAATTATTTACTCTTCATACTTGTATACCTACCAGGTTACTAAATAGATCACTATGTGGGTGATGGTCAGAAACTCTTGGAAGAGTTAGGCCACTGCTCCAATCTATCTATAATTTATAGCCTTCTATGGGTAATTTTGTTGTCTTTAAATAACTATTTAGACTCCTTGAGAGGCTATCTATAGACACTCATTTCAAATGTTATAATTATTGCTTTGTGGAAATACAACATATGGACAATTCAATATTGACTTGGGATTAATTAGACTCACTTTTGAAACCATTTATCAAACATTTCTTACATTATAAAACAAGCACCCAAAACATATTGTAAAATCTTATTTTCCTACTAACTTCCATTGTAAAACTAGAAACATGTTACCAAAGGAGAGTTCAAATAGATTTCTTTTAACCTTTGATGAAAAAGACAATAAGATGGTAGCCAGACCTGTGGCAGTCCATTTCTTTCCTGAACATCTGAAAATTAGTCGGCTTATCACCAATCACATCCCTTACCCTCATGAACACAAGGATGTCTCTCTTTCTTAGCAAAGTTATCTACCTCTATGCTTTGGGACTTCTAGACATTGCCCTTTTTTTTGCTTTGATCTGTGTGCATTTTTGTCCCTTTAATGAGGGATTCCACCACTATAACACACTTCACCAATAGAAGTCAAATTTCAAACCAGAAAATCCCTATGTTAGAGGCTTCTGCTTATATAAAACATGTTCATTATCTAACTTTGACTTTAAAATTCTCTATTAAAAATTCTCTATCAAATTTTCAAAATAATCTTCTTATTTCCACCAGTAGTGTAAACATACATAGAACTTTGCATTTTGGGTTAAAATTAAATACTTATAGGGAATAGGATATTTTATCCTTAAAAGAAATGGTGTACTTATTTGACAGTATAGAATTCCCCAAAGTGAAGGTATACTTTCATAAATATAGACTGACTTTTCACAAAGGAAATTCACAATATAAATAATAAACTTACACATACAGATGAACAATAAACAAAGATTTCCCTGAATTTTCTTTTAAATTATAACTGAATATTAAATATGATCTCATAATCAAATATGCATATTTACTGATACAAAAACACAGATGGAAAGAAATGCCACTGTCCCTTGGTATCTATGGGGGACTTTTTCTAGGACACTTCCTCCAAACCATTATCCTAGGATGCTAACGTCCCTTATATAAAGTGGCATAGTATTTGCATGTTACCAACATACATCCTCCCACTTTAAATCATCTCTAGATTATGTATAATACTTAGAACAATGTAAACAGCTATTATACTATATTGTCTCGGGAATAATGTCAAGGAAAAAAGTCTATTATTCAATACAGATGCAATTCCTTTTCAAAATATTTTCAATATGTAGTTGGTTGAATCCATGTATACAGAACCCACAGATATGGAGGTTCTGCCTGTATTTTGAAATATTAACCATAGTTATCACAGAATAGTATAATTGTGAATAACTGGCATCTCCTTATTTATACTCTTTGGATTTAAATTTTTTCTTCTTCAATAAATTAAAATTACTATCATGGACCATTGTTATATATGTATAAAATTTATTTTCCATGTTTTATTGTGGTAAAATATACATAATAGAAAACCAAATAATTCAGTGGCATGAACTATATTCACAGTGTTGTGCAAACATCATCATAATTTAATTCCAGAACTTTTTCATTACCAAATGGAAACCCTGTACTCATTAGTCACTTTCCATTCACCCCTCCCCCCAAACCCTGACAACCATGAATTTGCTTTCTATTTCTATGGATTTGCCCATTCTGGAGATTTCGTATAAATGGAATCAGATAGTAGGTTGGCTTTTGCATGTGGCTTCTTTTAACATTATGTTTTCAAGGTTAATTAATGTTGTAGCAAGCATTAGTACTTCATTTATTTTTATAGTTGAGTAAGAAGATATACCATATCCTATTTATCCATTTATGCACTGATAAACATTTGGGTTGTTTCCAGGTTCTGCCTATCGTGAATAGTGCTGCTTTGAACATTTGTGTGCAAGTTTGTGTTTCAACACCTGTTTAAAGAACGTATTAAATATACAAGACCAAGCAGAAGCAATATAGAATCTTCTAGAAACTCAAGCTGGCATATAGTACCCAAAGAGGATATATTGAATATACAAGACTAAGAATATATTAAATATATAAGACCAAGCAGATTATATTAAATATATAAGACTATATATTAAATATACAAGAATATTAAATATATTAAATATACAAGATCAAGGAGAAGCAATATAGACTCTTCCAGAAACTCAAGCTGGCAGATGGTGCCCAAAGAGGATAAATAGACCCTGAAAGAGCACACAGTTCTTATTATTATGTGCTTTACTTCCTACCCTTTTAACAGAAAACATATCCATGTCATGAACATAAAAGCCCAATAACATCAAGGTTAATTTTAGATAATTCTTGGAATGGGCAAAAAAGATGATGGTGTACTCTGAGCTTATCTGTACCCATTTAATAGCCATTGAATTCTCCTGTTTTTCCTTCTCTTGAAATACAAGCATATATTCATACACTATACATTCAATATACATGCAAGAGCTTGTGCCTTAACTGTATTTCCAATTCAGTGGCTTCTAGTAAGTACAGAAGTGTATTTTAGCTTGGTCATCCCCTAGATCTTGGGCTTTTGCCTCTATGATCACTCGCCTACACATACTGCACCCTGCAATCTAGAAAGCAAAACTGAAACTCTGGCTACAGAAGAAAAAGTGGCAGTCTGAAAACTAAAAGCAGCCTCTAAACTGTCATATATATTAATAAAAGGAGGACATGATTTGGGACCATTTAAAAATAAAGTACTAGGACTGGGCACAATGGTGCACATCTGTAATCCCAGCAGCTTGGGAGCTGAGGCAGGAGTTCGAAGACAGCCTCAGCAACTTAGCGTGGACCTAAGTAACTCATTGAGGCCCTGTTTAAATAAAAAAGGGCTGGGGATATGGCTCAGTGGTTAAGTGCCCTGAGTTAAATTCCTAGTCCCCAAAATTGAGAGGGAGAGTGAGAGGGGGGGGGGGGAAGGAGAGAGAGGGAGAAAGAAGGAAAGGAATGGAGGGAGGGAGGAGAGGGAGGGAAGGAAGGAAGGAAGGAAGGAAGGGAGGGAGGGAGGGAGGGAGGAAGGACGGACAAACTGGGAAATATTTCCATAATATTGGTAAACTTCTCTTTAAGGAAAACCAAATAGGAACAACAAACTTAGAAACACAATAAAGTAGGAAATTTTTAATTATACAAAATTCTTTACACATGCCAACTCTGTTAGGATCAGCATTATTGGATTGTTTTATTCCTTCCTTTTCCAAATTTATTTCTTCCACAAAATACTAAGATGCTTTCATATTTTGATAATGTTCCACGAAACCCAGAAGGAACTCCCTTCATCCTATGCAGAAAAGTTTTTAAATAGGTCTGGGAAAACAACAATAATTTCTATAACAAAGGTTTTTTTTTTTTTTTTTCAAATGAATATCAAGAACTTTACAAATGTCTTATTCTGTACATGGAAAAAGTGAATCACAGTAAAATAAACTGCCCAAAGTCTCAGAAGAAATCAGAATAAAGCCAGAAATAAAACTCGAGTTCAATTAACTGTGAAGACAGTGATTTGGCCACAAGGCAAAATATTACAGTTGCCATGGGGGGCCAGTTCTTCTAAAACAGCATTAGAATTAAAACATGTTATATCATAATGATATAGTAATGCCATTTATGAGCAGCATGAGAGAAAATGCTGTGTCTATGGCTGAATTTCTATTGTTTAATTCTGATAGCACTTATTCCTTCTTACTTTTTATACACATTTTTTCTCTACTATACAACATAAGATGCTTTATAGTAAGGAAAAAATTGTACCACTTTTGTATATGTAGTATAGTGCCTGGAACACAGTAGGCATTCCATAATATGGGTATGTGTGTGCATGCAAAATTTCATAGACCTACACTCAATCATCTCCTCTTAACCACTAAAGCAAATTAGGGTGAGAATGTGTGAACTTAATAAGCCAACCCAAATACAAAAGAAGAATAAAAATATGATTGATACAGGGTTCTCTGATAATGCCAAAGCACAGAGATACTCTCAATATAAATTTGTTAGTGTGTTCAGTGTGTGAATTGAGGTAGCCAAGAATGATTTATATTATTTAATTCTAGTTAACCAGTGCTTTGTCATGATGAGCTGATTTCTCCAAGTGGTATCGTACCCTAAATAACTCTTGCTTTTTGCTTCTGAGATGTATCCTCTGACCACCTAATCACTTGGTAGCAGCTACAACAAAGTGCTTTGGAATAAAAATAGAAGGAGAAATAAATTCCATTCAGTCCTTCTTACTACTTATTAACAGCTTTTATGAGATGCTCTAGTGAGGTAGTAGGACAAAAATGAAAGCCAAATTCAGTTTATGGATTATAACAACACATGGCACTTTGCCTTTTAAAAATTCCATTATTCAAATCTCACTATTCAATGGCGAAATTTATTTATTCATAAGAATGGATCAAATGAGGTATTTTCTGGGACTAGCTTTTAACATTTATCAGGGGTTACTTTCACTTGTTCTTTTAAAAATTTCTTAATCTTACCTCCCAGTCCAAATAATCACAGACATCTTCAAAGTTAGTGAGCAGAGACACTGAGCAAAAAAGCCGTGGCAGCTCATCTCTTGTCATTGGGGGAAAACGGCTATCTTTAAGGGCACTGTTGAAAACAAAGCAAATATTAAAACAATCACTGAATAAGAAATTTCCTAATTTCAAATGCAATCATTTGAAAAAGGTAAGAGATTAAAAAGAATCCATGAAATATCAAAGGTACCAATAATCTTTAAATATATTCAAAGCCCTCCCAAATTTTAGAAGTCATCCATTTTTTGCATTGACTAGATTGTTTGTCAGCCAATCCTGTGGCCACGTTTGATTATAAAGAGTAGATGTACAATAAAATTTCCTGTACATCCATTTCTTGATGTCTCTTTGTGTTACTTGTATAATATGAGAAAGTTCTATTTTTCTTTTGAGGGGAATAAAAACCAGACTAATGGAAACTTATTGGAAGACCTCTGGCTCTAGTGTTAATGGAAGTAAAAAAAAAAAAAAAAAGGAAAAGTATACAAAAAGTAATATATCTCTGGCTATGTGTGTAATAATCATATTGTACACAATAAAATAGTTTATACTAGTTTGGCCAGATACCACAGAAGACTCACAATTCAAAAAAGATTTTAAAAATCATACAAGTTATAGACTAAATATACAAAATTTCATGTCCCTTGTAAATGATAACTCAAAATGACTCAAAAATTAAGAAACTACAGGAAATAAGGCTAATCTGGGAAATAAAATTACAATTAGGAGATCATTAATCCCGTGCAATGAATTTCTGAGTATACAAACTCTGATTGGATCCATTAATCAAGTGCTAAATTATGGAAGGATCCCACTCTAAAGGACAAAAATTTTGTAAGGCCATACTTCTTCCTGCAATAGTGGAACAGACTGAAATATATATGTTTTATATAGTAGATAGGTTGGTAGGTAAGTAGGTAGGTAAGTAGGTAGATAGATAACACACTATTTATAAGAAACCATTTCCTGATCAAGAAAAACAAGCACACCTCTGATTGTCTAAAATATTAATGACACTATGGGCCTTCAAGTCATTCTTCTTCCAATGTCACATATAGCAGCCAGGCTTAGAAAGTGTTTTCACAGATTAATCCTTTGAGGCCCAAAACTTAGACCCTACCAACTGTTTGGTCATAACAAAGTTCCATAGCCTTTGAAAATAATTTAATTCCCCTTTCAGTGACTTTCTTATTACTAAATTTTCTTCTCTTTTCATTTTCATCCCTTCATTTGTATTCTGAAACTAATCCATTGTGTTTATATTTTCAATGCATTTTAGTGCTTGTTCTTTCTCTCTTGTTATACAAAAGAAAATGATTTTAGGAAGATATAGAGATATTATATATTTGTAAAGTATAAATGTTTCTCCTATTCAAGAAGCCAGGATTAACCAAGAAAATCAGGAAATTGTGATAACTCATATTCTAAAATCAGCACTTCAATATTTTATAATTTAACAACATAAATTTCCTGAGGTTTAGCTTCTTTTATTTTTCTACTGGCAAACAAAGTTTAAAAAAAAGACTTTTAAGCTCTCATTCAAAGTCAAGATAAAGACATGTGTATATAAGCATCTCCCCTATACACACATACTGGAGAGAAATTCTAATACATAATTCCGAAGAATATCATGCATAAAAAAGCCAATCACATTTTTTATTTTCCTGTTAAAAAGAAAGGAAAAAAAGCCTTGTACATTAGAATAATATGAAATTCAATTTTTTAGAGTTATGTATTTTTATTTTGATAAATATACATAAATTAACATTTTAATCATTTTAAAATATACAGTTCCATAAAGATTACCAGACAAAGACACCTCAAAGAAAGAAAACTACAGACCAATATCTCTGATGAACATAGATGCAAAAATCCTCAATAAAATTCTGGCGAACCGGATACAAAGGCACATCAAAAAAATTGTGCACCATGATCAAGTTGGATTCATCCCTGGGATGCAAGGATGGTTCAATATACGGAAATCAATAAATGTTATTCACCACATCAATAGACTTAAAAATAAGAACCATATGATCATCTCAATAGACGCAGAAAAAGCATTCGACAAAGTACAGCATCCCTTTATGTTCAAAACATTAGAAAAACTAGGGATAACAGGAACTTACCTCGACATTGTAAAAGCTATCTATGCTAAGCCTCAGGCTAGCATCATTCTCAATGGAGAAAAATTGAAGGCATTCCCCCTAAAATCTGGAACAAGACAGGGATGCCCTCTATCACCACTTCTATTCAATATAGTTCTCGAAACACTGGCCAGAGCAATTAGACAGACGAAAGAAATTAAAGGCATAAAAATAGGAAAGGAAGAACTTAAATTATCACTATTTGCAGATGACATGATTCTATACCTAGAAGACCCAAAAGGGTCTACAAAAAAACTACTAGAACTAATAAATGAATTCAGCAAAGTGGCAGGATATAAAATCAACACGCATAAATCAAAGGCATTTCTGTATATCAGCGACAAAACTTCTGAAACGGAAATGAGGAAAAACACTCCATTCACAATATCCTCAAAAAAAATAAAATACTTGGGAATCAACCTAACAAGAGAGGCGAAAGATTTATATAATGAAAACTACAAAACCCTAAAAAGAGAAGTAGAAGAAGATCTTAGAAGATGGAAAAATATACCCTGTTCATGGATAGGCAGAACTAACATCATCAAAATGGCGATATTACCAAAAGTTCTCTATAGGTTTAATGCAATGCCAATCAAAATCCCAACGGCATTTCTTGTAGAAATGGATAAAGCAATCATGAAATTCATATGGAAAAATAAAAGACCCAGAATAGCAAAAGCAATTCTAAGCAGGAAGTGTGAATCAGGCGGTATAGCGATACCAGACTTAAAACTATATTACAGAGCAATAGTAACAAAAACAGCATGGTACTGGTACCAAAACAGGAGGGTGGACCAATGGTACAGAATAGAGGACACAGAGACTAATCCACAAAGCTACAACTATCTTATATTTGATAAAGGAGCTAAAAGCATGCAATGGAGGGAGGATAGCATCTTCAACAAATGGTGCTGGGAAAACTGGAAATCCATATGCAACAAAATGAAATTGAATCCCCTCCTCTCGCCATGCACAAAAGTTAACTCAAAGTGGATCAAGGAGCTAGATATCAAATCAGAGACTCTGCGTCTGATAGAAGAAAAAGTTGGCTCCGATCTACATATTGTAGGGTCGGGCTCCAAATTCCTTAATAGGACACCCATAGCACAAAAGTTGATAACAAAAATCAACAAATGGGACTTACTTAAACTGAAAAGTTTTCTCTCAGCAAGAGAAACAATAAAAGAGGTAAATAGGGAGCCTACATCATGGGAACAAATTTTTACTCCTCACACTTCAGATAGAGCCCTAATATCCAGAGTATACAAAGAACTCAAAAAATTAAACAATAAGAAAACAAATAACCCAATCAACAAATGGGCCAAAGACCTGAACAGACACTTCTCAGAGGAGGACATACAATCAATCAACAAGTACATGAAAAAATGCTCACCATCGCTAGCAGTCAGAGAAATGCAAATCAAAACCACCCTAAGATACCATCTCACTCCAGTAAGATTGGCAGCCATTATGAAGTCAAACAACAACAAGTGCTGGAGAGGATGTGGGGAAAAGGGTACTCTTGTACATTGCTGGTGGGACTGCAAACTGGTGCGGCCAATCTGGAAAACAGTATGGAGACTCCTGGGAAAGCTGGGAATGGAACCACCATTTGACCCAGCTATTGCCCTTCTTGGACTTTTCCCTGAAGACCTTAAAAGAGCGTACTACAGGGATACTGCTACATCGATGTTCATAGCAGCATAATTCACAATTGCTAGACTGTGGAACCAACCCAGATGCCCTTCAATAGATGAATGGATAAAAAAAATGTGGCATTTATACACCATGGAGTATTACGCAGCACTAAAAAATGACAAAATCATAGAATTTGCAGGGAAATGGATGGCACTAGAGCAGATTATGCTTAGTGAAGCTAGCCAATCCCTAAAAAACAAATACCAAATGTCTTCTTTGATATAAGGAGAGCAACTAAGAACAGAGCAGGGAGGAAGAGCAGGAAGAAAAGATTAACATTAAACAGATACATGAGGTGGGATGGAAAGGGAGAGAAAAGGGAAATTGCATGGTAATGGAGGGAGACCCTCATTGTTATACAAAATTACATATAAGAGGTTGTGAGGGGAATGGGAAAATAAACAAGGAGAGATATGAATTACAGTGGATGGGGTAGAGAGAGAAGATGGGAGGGGAGGGAGGGGGGATGGTAGAGGATAGGAAAGGTAGCAGAATACAACAGTTACTAATAGGGCATTATGTAAAAATGTGGATGTGTAACCGATGTGATTCTGCAATCTGTATTTGGGGTAAAATTGGGAGTTCATAACCAACTTGAATCTAATGTATGAAATATGATATGTCAAGAGCTTTATAATGTTTTGAACAACCAATAAAAAAAAAAAAAAAAAAAAAAAAAAAAAAAAAAAAAAAAAAGATTAAGTGCATTCACACCATCATCACCATCCATCTCCAGAACCTTTTTGTTTTCCTCAATTGAAACTCTATTCATTAATTACTAACTCCTCCTGGGTGTGGTGGAACACTACTGTCATCCCAGCAATTCAGGAGGCTGAGACAGGAGGATCACAAGTTTAAGACCAGTGTCAGCAAATTAGTAAGACCCTGTCTCAAAATAAAAAATAAAAAGAACTGGGGATGTAGCTCAGTGGTAGAGCAATGTTGGGTTTAATCCCTAGTACCAACAACTAACTAAACACTAATTCCCCGTTCCCTGCTTCCCTCAGTCCCTAGCATAAAACAATTTAAATACACTTTAGCTATACTGCTAAGTCACTAGTGCTTTGGGGGATTTTTTTGGGGGGTGGATACTGGGGATTGAACTCATAGGCACTCAACCACTGAGCCACATCCCAGCCCTATTTAGTATTTTATTTAGAGACAGGATCTCCCTGAGCTGCTTAGTGCCTTCCTATGGCTGAGGCTGGCTTTGAATTTGCAATCCTCCCTT